GTTGGAGTATCTGAGGTGTATAAAAACCAGGAACTCTGCCTATACCCAAAACATCCTTTATTGCTGCACCTTACCATTATGTTTTTGCATATGTTTCTTAGATTTCTTTAGATTTTATTTGTCATAGCTAGCTCACATACGTATATTTCTGGATAGTAAAAAAGGATTGTTTTTGTAAGCTGTATGAGCCTGAAACACATAAACTCATTTTTCTGAATTTGAATTTGTGCCGATCACTTCACTTTGCATTCATAAATCTTGGACAGGAGATTATTTTATCTGTAAGAATTAAATTAATCGCAAATCAGGAGAGAACTCAAATTTATGCTCATCAGTTCTCTAATAAAAAAATAATGTTTAAATCATGACAATGTTTAGCTAAAATGGGCAGGTTTTTTAAATGATGTTGAGGGCATTTGGTAAATTTAATTATTGTAGAACACATAAAGATGAATATATTCTCTTTCAGTGCTAAATAGGCTCTAAAGCTTTTCTTGACCTTCCGTTGATTAACTACCCAATTTAAATACGCTAATGCTTTAAATTAATAACTTCTGTTTAATTAAAAGTGTTTTACCATATCTGTGTCTAATTATGATTTGAATTGGGCACTTTGCAGTCCCACAATATAAGCAGATAACCAAAGGCTCAATTAGAAATGATGGGGTTGATTTACTATAGGCGTAAAGATTTACAGTTTACTGTATAAAGAAATTGTTTACTTAGGTTTGTAAAAAAAAGGGGAATCTGTATTCACTTTGAATACCTGGTCATGTGCAAAAGAAATTAAAAAATTGATTTTTTTTTGAGTTTTAAAGATGCAAAAGAAAACATTATTTACCCTTTTTGCTAAAGCTAAGTGAAAATTCAACACTCTCTAGACTTCCTACTCTTTTGGTTAACCCCTAGATGCAGACCACACAAAAATATGTGGCCTCATTGCATTGCTCCTTATGCCATAGGGTGCATATTTGTGTATCTTGTTATGCCACATGGTGTGCTTCCAGCACAGAGACCGGGGTCCCACCATGAGCCCCAGGTCCCGTACTAACGATCAGGACCTGGAACTCCAAATTCCGGGTCACCTGATCACTGTGATAGCCTCTGATTGGCTATCACACTGATCAGTCACTGTGAATCCCACCCCTGTGTTTTCTTTCTCTGAATGGAGGAGAGAGATACACTGTATCTCTCTCTGTCCTTTCAGAGAGAGAAAAAAACAACAGTATATATAAAACAAAAAATAATTCTTAAAAATAAAATAAAAAATACCCAGATCAAGGTTTGATCTAGGTCAGTGCCAGGGTTAGTGTTTGGGTCAAGGTAAAATATCAGCGTCATTTTATTTTGGGCATGATTTCTTTTTTTTTTAAATTAGAGTCAGTGTTTTGTTAGGACAAAAAAAAAATTGCAAAATGCACACTGTTGTTTCTGGGCAGTACTACGAGTACAAACAACAAATAACACAACACATACGTGGCATCATTGTGATCATCAGGAGTAGGAGAAATTATTTGGGTTGTTCCTTGGTGGTGGGTTATGGTAGTAACAAGAAATATACAGCTAGATTTTAAAAAAAATTTTTTTTTAACAATCTTGGACCAGGTTTCCCTTGATAATAATAATAAAAAAAAAAAAATCAGGAGATATCCATTACCATTCACCACCAAATGAAAGCCCAATTTGTCCTGAAAAAAACAAGGTATAATTCCAATGGATAAACATATTGATTATCGTAAGTTGCAAAATTGTGCTTAGACATTAGGATTTGTTTTACCCTTGGGCGTGAAGGGGTTAAACCATCCCTTCTAAAATACAAATAAAATATTTTCAAAAATCCGCTGTAGAATTAGCTACAGTGAGGAGCAGAAGTATTTGAACATCCTGTGATTTTGCAAGTTCTCGTACTTAGAAATCATGGAGGGGCCTGAAATTCACATTGTAGGTGCATTCCCACTCTGAGAGACAGAATTTAAAAAAAAAACAAAATTCAGGAAATCTCATTGTATGGTTTGTAAAGAATGTATTGTCTTGCACTGCTGAACATAAGTATTTGAACACCTGAGAAAATCAGTGTTAATATTTGGTACAGAAGCCTTTGTTTGCAATTACAGAGGTCAAATGTTTCCTTTAGTTCTTGACCAGGTTTGCACTGCAACAGGGATTTTGGCCCTCTCCTCCACACCAATCTCCTCTAGATCTGTCAGGTTTCGGGGCTGTCGCTGAGCAACACAGAGTTTCAGCTCCCTCCAAAAATGTTCTATTGGATTTAGGTCTGGAGACTGGCTAGGCCACTCCAGAACCTTGATATGCTTCTTATGGAGCCACTCCTTGGTTCTCCTGGCTGTGTGCTTCGGGTCGTTGTCATGTTGGAAGACCCAGCCACGACCCATCTTCAATGCTCTGACTGAGGGAAGGAGGTTGTTGCTCAAAATCTCACAATAAATGGCCCCATTCATCCTCTCCTTAATACAGTGCAGTCGTCCTGTCCCCTTTGCAGAAAAGCACCCCCAAAGCATGATGTTACACCCCCATGCTTCACAGTAGGGATGGTGTTCTTGGGATGCAACTCATCCTTCTTTTTCCTCCAAACACGACGAGTGAAGTTTAGACCAAAAAGTTCTACTTTGGTCTCATCTGACCACATGACTTTCTCCCATGCCTCCTCTGGATCATCCAGATGGTCATTGGCAAACTTCAGATGGGCCTGGTCATGTGATGACTTGAGCAGGGGAACCTTCCGTGCAATGCATGATTTGAAACCATGACGGCGTAGTGTTCTGCCGACAGTGACCTTTGAAACTGTGGTCCCAGCTCTCTTCATGTCATTGACCAGCTCCTCCCTTGTAGTTCTGGGCTGATTCCTCACCTTTCTTATCATCAGTGATACCCCGAGGTGAGATCTTGCATGGAATCCCAGTCTGAGGGAGACTGACAGTCGTCTTTAGTCTCTTCCATTTTCTAACAATTGCTCCAACAGTTGATCTATTTTCACCAAGCTGCTTGGCAATTGCCCCGTAGCCCTTTCCAGCCTTGTGGAGGTCCACAATTTTGTCTCTGGTGTCTTTTGACAGCTCTTCAGTCTTGCCCATAGTAGTAGTTGGTGTCTGACTGACTGTGGGGTGGACAGGTGTCTTTAAAGAGGTCAGACAGGTGCTACTAAGTTACATTAATGAGTGGAGTAGAGGTGGACTTTTTAAAGGCAAAGTAACAGGTCTTTGAGAACCAGAATTCTTGCTGTTTCTTAGGTGTTCAAATACTTCTGTTCAGCAGTGCAAGACAAATAAATTCTTTAAAAATCATACAATGTGATTTCCTGAATTTTTTTTTTAAATTCTGTCTCTCAGAGTGGGAATGCACCTACAATGTGAATTTCAGACCCCTCCATGATTTCTAAGTGGGAGAACTTGCAAAATCACAGGGTGTTCAAATACTTCTGTTCCTCACTGTATGTGCAATAGTGTTAAAGTATATGTAAAACCAATCCCTAAATTTCAGTAAATTATTATAATATCAAAAATTGTTTTAATTATTTTTAAATCTAGAGCTTTTATTAAAATAATACTTGGTGATCCAGCCAGGAATGTCCTTGTTGAGGCACTGTCTGTTGTCAGGTGACAGAACTTTTTCTCTCCTAGTTGTGTTTCTGCATTGCCACCCTCATACAGGATTCTGATAGAGAGTGCAAGGCACTGTTTCATTACACGTTATGTAAGCATGGATCATGATTGTCACCATCAAAAAGCCCACCCTGACAAATGCCATGCAACCATGGCTGGAGTGAGTGTATGTAGGCAGGAAGTAGATGCTAAGAGGCAGATCAGCAGCATTTAAATACAACAAAAGATGAATAAATGGAAAAAATAGTTGTTTTATGATACATAGCACTATAAAAAAAATAAATGTTCTTCAGTTAGGATTTGCACCTACAGGACTTTATAGTATTTGTTACAAACACTGGATTCTACTGGCATGTGCAAACATCCATCTTGTATCTCTTAGCTGTATCTTTCATTCTATTTTACCACTCTGGAACATTTTACCCCCTTATTTATTTATTTCAGGTACTTATATAGCGCCATCAATTTTAGCAGTGCTTTACATATAAATTGTACAGTCACATCAGTCCCTAACCCTCAAGGGGTGTACAATCTAAGGTCCCTAACTCACATTCATACACATACCTACTAGGGCCAATTTAGACAGGAGCCAATTAACCTACCAGCATGTCTTTGGAGTGTGGGAGGAAACTGGAGTACCTGCAGGAAACCCACGCAGGCACAGGGAGAACATGCAAACTCCAGGCAAGTGGTGCTGTGGTTGGGATTTGAACTGATGACCCTAGTGCTGCTAGGTGGGAGTGCTAACCATTTAACCACTGTGCTACCCCCTTCACAACCAGTCCATTTTTTTGCTATTTGGCACTGTGCTACTTTCACTGGCAATTCCATGGTCATGCCACACTATACCCAACTAAAAATGTTAGCATTTTTTTTTCACACAAATAGTTTTCTTTTGGTGGTATTTAATCACCACTGAGTTTATTTATTATATATTAAAAAAAAAAAAAAGACCCAAAAATTATTTTCTACTTTCTGTCATTAAAAATATCCCATAAAATTAAATTTCATCATCAATTTAGGCAAAATGTCTTCTGCTACCAGGTGTACTGACTGAAAAACTGGCTGACTGAAATAATTTTGTATTCATTTTTTTAAATACAGTTTATTTTTTAAGCATGTTTTTTTTTTAATACTATATTTTTACACTCTTTCATCAGAGTAGTTCAGTGTCACCATAGTGACACTTAGTGACACTGTACTACTCTAGGGGGTGAGCAAGGATTTATTTATTTTTTTTTTTTCAGATTGTTATTGCCTAAAGAGCTAAGATCACAGTATAAGCAATAACTTTAGCTGCTGCAAATGGGTTTCCCTTTTATAAAGAGCTTGCTTTTGGCTGTGATCTGTGTTTGGCTAAGCTAGTCTACACTACTTTTAACCCCCCTGGAGGTATTCCCGAGTGTAGCTCGGAATAAAGTTTTAGCACCACAAGTGGTAACCCTGAGCTACACTCGGGCTTACCATGCGGCGCTGCTCTGCGATCCCTCGATCACTTACCTTGTCCTGCGCTCCTGCGATGTCCCTCCTGCAGTGTCCCGGCAATGTAATCCAGTGGATGCCAGCATCTATCTTCTGGGTTCCATCCCCTGCGATGTCGGGACGTACGGGGGAGGGAACGGCGGGAAATTTTAAAATGACATTCACTAAAATCACATAGTAAAACATTTCTGTATCAAAGCATTTCACATACATTTTGTCCCGAGTGCTTTGTCCGGCGCCCTGCCTGCATTTTTACTGTTCTTTCTGCCTGAAAACTGAGAAACGTCCATGGCGTCCAAAAAGCGTCCCTTTAGGTCAAAAGCGGTTTTAGACCGGCTAGAGAACAGCGATAGTAAATCAGAACCACTTGCAGAATTGAGTGATAATGATTCGTGGGGGAAATTCGTCATCATTCGAAATGAGGTCCTTAGATATAAATCAAAAAGCAAACAATGTGTTTCCTTTCCTTGTAATTAGAGATGAGCGAATTATTCAAAAATTCGATTCGGCTGATTCGCCGAATTTGCTGAAATAAATTAGATTCGATGCGAATTTATTCGCTGCGAATTTAACTTATTAAAAGGGTTTCTAGGCTTCAGAGAGCCTTTATATTAGTGCAGAACACTGTACCTTTAATTAAATGCCCTTGGAGTCTGCTGGGGAAGAGAAATAATACTGTCAGTCAGTATGACATGCAGATGAGTGCCGTCGATCTTAGAATCACCGCACACTTCACTCATTTGGGCAGTCACGGGGCACGACGAAGAAGATGAAGAAGAAGATGAAGAAGAAGAAGAAGAAGAATGAAAAGAAGAAGAAGAAGAAGAAGAAGAAAAGAAGAAGAATGAAAAGAAGAATGAAAAAAAGAATGAAAAGAAGAATGAAAAGAAGAAGAAGAAAAATGAAAAGAAGAAGAAGAAGAATGAAAAGAAGAATGAGAAGAATGAAAAGAAGAATGAAAAAAGAAGAAGAAGAATGAAGAAGAAGAAGAAGAAGAATGAAGAAGAAGAATGAAAAGAGAAGAAGAATGAAAAGAAGAAGAAGAAGAAAAGAAGAATGAAAAGAAGAAGAAGAATGAAAAGAAGAATAAGAATGAAAAAGAAAGAAGAAGAATGAAAAGAAGAAAGAAAGAAGAAGAAGAATGAAAAGAAGAAAGAAGAAGAATGAAAAGAAGAAGGAGAATGAAGAAGAAGAAGAAGAATGAAAAGAAGAAGAAGAATGAAAAGAAGAATGAAAAGAAGAAGAAGAAGAAGAAGAGAAGAAGAATGAAAAGAAGAATGAAAAGAAGAATGAAAAGAAGAATGAAAAAAGAAGAAGAAGAAGAAGAATGAAAAGAAGAATGAAGAAGAAGAATGAAAAGAAGAATGAAAAGAAGAATGAAAAGAAGAATGAAAAGAAGAAGAAGAATGAAAGAAGAAGAAGAAGAAGAAGAAGAAGATGAAGAAAAGAAGAAGAAGAAGAAGAAGAAGAAGAAGAATGAAAAGAAGAAGAAGAATGAAAAGAAGAAGAAAAAGAAGAATGAAGAAGAATGAAAAGAAGAAGAAGAAGAATGAAAAGAAGAAGAAGAGAGAATGAGAAGAAGAATGAAAAGAAGAATGAGAAGAATGAAAAGAAGAATGAAAAGAAGAAGAAGAAGAAGAAAAAAGAAAAGAAGAAGAAGAAGAAGAATGAAAAGAAGAAGAAGAAGAAGAAGAATGAAAAGAAGAAGAAGAAGAAGAAGAATGAAAAAGAAGAAGAAGAAGAAGAAAGAAGAAGAAAAAGAAAAGAAGAATTCCAGTACAGCAAAAAGTGTATCTGCAGAGAGCTCCGCTATTTCTGACAGTTCTCTGACAGTTCCTTCACATTTACAGCGGTTGAAACATTGTATCTATTTGTTTCCGAATAAAAACATCTGTATCCTAAATGGAAACAAATAGATACAATGTTTCAACCGCTGTAAATGTGAAGGAACTGTCAGAGAACTGTCAGAAATAGCGGAGCTCTCTGCAGGGACACTTTTTGCCGGCTGTAGAAGGGATGAAAATCGGCCGATCGGGAAAAATTCGATTCGTGCATCCGAAGTTTGCTAATTTTCGGATTCGGTGCAAATCAAATTTTTCCTAATATTCGAAACGAATTCCACTTCGCCAAGTTCGATTCGCTCATCTCTACTTGTAATCAATATGATAAACTTTCACTCGGTCTGCAGTGCTGTATCCTGGAAGAAAATCATAAGAATCAGCACGACAGGCAATAGAACAATATAAACATACTATTAAAAAAAACCCAAAACAAGCTTTGAAGCTTTAAACCCTGTTAGGATGGCAATAGTGAAATGGTATCTAGCTTAAAAAGGCTCGTGCCATTCTGAAAATGACTTGCAAAATGTTGGCATAATCTTTTAATATATTCAAACAATTAATAAATACAGTGTATTCATGTCCACACAGTGACCGTTTCTTTCATTGTTGGGGTTTTTTTTTTTTCTTTGATAAGAGAAAAATTAACTATTGGTAGCAAATATATTTTCCAAAATACTTTACAAATATATTTGTGTCCAAAATCAGAAAAAATATTGAGCAGCTATTTCAGAAAAAAAAAAAAAATACAGAGAGGTATTAGTTTTATCATTTATCCCTTATTAATTGACAAGGCATATTTTCTTTTCTCACTGATGGGTTTTTTTTTTTAATTATCTTGGCATGCTGACATTTCCAGGCCACAGCAAAACCGGTTTTGGTGACAAAATCTGGATGGAGCTTGCAGTAAAATGCAAAGTCTGCTTATGGGTGACCAACCCCCCCCCCAAAAAAAAAAAAAAATTAGACCCTAAAACAAAAACATATAATTAAATATCTATCTGAGTCTAATCTTCTGACTGAGGAGCCTAGGCGAGGGTTATGTCACGCTTTTTCTGTCCAGACCCTAGGAAATGGAGATTATTTATACAGTATTTATAAAGCACCAATAGTTCACTCAGCGCTGTACATTACAAAGAGGGACAGAACATGTGACAGAACAATACCAATACAATGCAAAACATGGGGGGATCGAGGGCCCTGCTCTTACGAGCTTACAATCTAGGAGGGAGGGGATGGTGGCACAGGAGGAGATAGCTGTGGGGGATGGAGTGGTAGGAAGAGTGGAGGAGGTCGGCAAGTTAGCAGGGGGTGGGGTAGGCTTCCCTGAAGAGAGCCTAAAGGAGAGGAGAGTAGGTGATAATCTGATGGGTTAGGGCAGGGAGTTCCAGAGGATGGGCGACACTCTGGAGAAGTCCTGGAGGCGGGCATGGGAGGAGGAGACCAGGGAACTAGAGAGAAGGAGGTCTTGTGAGGAGCGGAGTGTGCGTGTTGGGTGGTACTTGGATATTAGGTCAGTGATGTAGTTCGGGGCAGTATGGTGGACGGCTTTGTACGTCAGTGTTAGGATTTTGAATTTGATCCGTTGCGCAATTGGAAGCCAGTGGAGGGATTGGCAGAGGGGGGTGGCGGAGACTGAGCAGTTGGAAAGGTGAATGAGTCTGGCAGCCGTATTCAGGATCAACTGAAGTGGGGATAGCCTGTGGCAAGGCAGGCAGGCCAGTGAGGAGGGAGTTGCAGTAGTTGAGTTGTGATATGATGAGGGAGTGGATGAGCTGCTTAGTGGTTTCTGGAGTTAGGAACGCGCGTATTTTGGCGATGTTGCGGAGGTGGAGTCTGCATGAGTTTGTTAAAGATTGGACTTGGGGCTGGAAGGATAGGCTGGAGTCCAGAATGACACCAAGTACTCTGGCCTGGGGGCGGGTTTGATGGTGGCGTTGTTGGATGTGATGGAGAAGTCAATGGGGGGTGGTGTCCGGGCTGGGGGGAAGACAAGAAACTCGGTTTTGGAGAGGTTCAGTTTAAGGAAGTGGAGCGACATCCAGTCTGATATGTCGCTCAGTAGGTGTGTGATTCGGGCGGAGACCGAGGGGGTGAGGTGGTGAGATAAGTCCAAATCTAATGAGAAGATATTCTTGAACAGGTCTGAAGTGTCCTCTCACAAGATTTGGGCTGCTCTGCTCAGTTTATACATAGGAGGTTTGTTGGCACAGGATGAATGTTCCCTTCAGTATCACAGGATCATACAGCTATCCATCCAGTAATGTTGTGTACCTCATCCAATGCAAAAACAGCAACAAAGGAACTTTGATGAAACAGGACAGACTATAAAAGAACACATGGAAGATGATTTCTGCACACTTGTTGGACATCACTTCTCACAACCAGACCTCATTATGGAAGACATGAATGTTTTAGTTTTTAAAAGGGAACGTCAAAACTACTCAGGAAAGGAATTTGTTTCCACTAAAAATGATAATTCTAATTGACACAAAAAAAATTAATGGAATTCACGTGGACCTCAGTTTTCTAAATCACTGTAGAACACCTTATGACCACTCTTGACCCTAGTACACATGATGAAAAATACCACTTTCAGAACGATTGTCCAATAATCTGATCATCAATACACAGCTTTTGAGAGCCATTCATGACAGTTCATGCAAAATTATCTGAAGGGACAAGCACGGAACTTTTTCTCATACAATATCAGAAAAACATTGTGTGACCAAGACCATGCATGCTCAGACACAAAAGACTATACAATACATTACAGTGGCTAAATGGTTAGTACTAGGGTTGCTGGTTTGAATTCCAGCCATGGCTCCACCTGCCTGGAGTTTGCATGTTCTCCCTGTGCCTGCATGGGTTTCCTCCGGGCACTCCAGTTTCCTCCCACACTCCAAAGGCCTGCTGGTAGGTTCATTGGATCCTGTCTACATTGGCCCCAGTATGTGTATGTATGAATGTAAGTTAGGGACCTTAGATTGTAAGCTCCTTGAGGGTTAGGGACTGATGTGAATGTATAATATATATGTAAAGTGCTGCGTAAATTGACCACGCTATATACAGTAAGTACCTGAAATAAATCATAAATAAATAATACTTCCGAAGTTGTATTCTGTCATATGAGAATTTTTGTAACTTTGGTAACCTCTTCATTTTCTATTTTTTTTTTTTTTTTCCCGACATGCCTTGGGGGCATTTTTTGCCTGCTCTTGTGTCATTGCTTCTGTGGCTGCCCAAACAATTACTCACAGGCCAGATAGCCCTGTGCCAGATTTAGCAGGCCCTCCCTCAACAAGCTTGGGCCGGTTAGCTCAGTTGATTAGAGCGTGGTGCTAATAACGCCAAGGTCTCGGGTTCGATCCCCGT